CATATAAATTAAAATTTTAAATAATAATTATTTTTTTATTAAAATAATAATTATTAAAATGAAATATTTTGATTACACATAAATTAAAACAAAAGATAATAAAGTATATTATTTAACTATTATAAATCTAAAGTCTAAAATAAAATCAAATTCATAAATAAAATTAAATTTATACACGCCCATATAAATTAAATATTAATGGACATGTAAATATAAAAAAGTTGGTACATATTATTCACGAATATCTATTTATAATATTTAGTTTTTTATCTGTTGCAGATTTATCTATAAATATATGCATGAATGAATTTTTTTTTGACATCCCTATATTAAAAAATATTCTTTGAAAATTAAAATAAATGAGCAGAAAAATGTGAACGTTAGCATTTAATTGAGAAGTCTTTGACTTTGTCTCCACGGGTTAAAATGAAACAATCAATAAATTATTTCACATGCACGTTACAATTAAGAAACTCAGGAATTTGTTTTCTTATGGCAGGAATGTTGATGAGCAAGATTTTTACAATGGAAAGCAAGGCGATGAACAGAAGGTGCAATCCTACATCATGTTCGAGGGTGTTCTGAGAGGCCAAACTGTCCGAGTCCAAGTAAGTTGATTATACATAGTTAATTATTTGAATGAATAGTAGTAGTTAATTTATTAAATTATATTTAAAATTTGAAGGGGAATAAAAATGAAAATGGTGGTGAAAGCGAGCATGAAAGATTCGAAGACAGAACTGGCAAAGGAGAGAGAGTGGGACTGTCCCTGTCATTGAACTCACATCCATTCTTGAATCGCAGCGTTACTGGTCCAGATGCGAATGATGTCTCTCTTGAGCTCACCCTCTCTTAGAATCATGCACATAATAATACCTACCTACCTACTTTTTTATTTTTCATATTGCTGCATCACCTTTCAACTCTTCTTCTCATATTTATATAAATGTTATCCATGATTTTTTTTAATAGTTTTTAATCAAACATTTTATTTCTTTGTTTCGTATCCATATCTCTAATGGTGTGTTTGGATGAGGAATTTTACAAATTCAAGGAATTTTAAATTCTTGGTATTTGAATTACTTTGATTTTAATTTCTATCATTCTTGAAATATTTTGTTTGGATGAGTCAATTCAAATTTCTTAAATTTTAAATTGTTAGGTTTAATATGATAATTTTATTCCATCATAATAAAAATTGATTTTAAAAATATATTTATATGTTAAGATTTTTAAATTAAATTTTATAAAAATAAATATTAATCCATTTTTAAATATTTAATAATTTTAAAAATTAATATTAGATAATATTTAATATTTTTAAAAATTAATATTAGATAATGTTTAACAATTTTAAAAATATTTTTAAATATCCAATAATTAAAAGAATGAAGAGATAAGATAAAATATATAGGTGAAATAAGAAAAATAAATATGAGGAATTTCAAATTCTCCCATTTATGGAAGAATTTGAAATTCTACTATTTTAAGAAATTTCACAAATGCTTGGATTTCAAATTCTTTGTAAATTCCTCATCCAAACAAAGCATTTCACCTCAAGAAATTTAAAATTCTTTAAATAAATGAATTACCCTATATAAATTTCTCATCCAAGCACACCATTAGGCAATTGTAGTACGTAACACTACTTTAGTTCAGATCATTTTGTGCCCCCCATCAGAAGTACTTATAATATTTTTACCCCAAAAAAACATAATTAACAATAGCGTTATATGTTATGTATCCGGGGAACTGTATAATTAACTCCTCTCTAGTAATACATATTTAGTATATTTTATAATTTTAATAATTTAATTATTAAATTAAAAATTCTTAATATATAGATCAAATTTATAAATTTTTTATATATTTTATTTCAGTAATTCAAATGAATATTTAATTATAAAAATATTTTATATTTTAATTTGAGTTAATAATAAAATAAACTATCAAATAATTTTTAAATTTTTTAAAAATTTGTAAATTTGTCTTATGTATTAATTTTTTTTAATTAAATAATTAAATTATTGAAGTTTGATGTAAAATATGTAATTATTGAATAAATAAGTTTAAGTAGACTTAGTATTATAGTAAGTTGATCCTCCTCTTATAATATCTCCATACTTTTCAATTAACTAATTTAATTTTAATAGTGTAATTAAAAAAATTATTTATTTAGGTACTTATAATTTATTTTTAATATATTATTTTTTGTATTTGGAGAAAAATCATTCTTTGTGTTGTATATTAAAAAATAAATTATATTACAGTCAGTCAAAATCAATAAATTAAAAATGAAAAATAACATTCAAAGTACATATAAGTGACAAAGTAAATTATAATACTTAAAAAAGTACAATGTCAAAAATAAATTAATATATTAGAATGTAGGAAATATTAAAATAATAAAAATTATAGTTTATAATATATTAAAAATTATAAATAAACCTATGTGATTATCTTATTTATATAAAATAATAACCTAATTAAAATATGCAGCTAAAACAATATAACTATTCTAATTTAAAATATTATTTATTATTTTAATTATTTTTTCATTTTATTAAGCATGTCCACACTAGACGGACTAAAATTATGGTAGGAACTAAAAGGACAATAAAAATTGTTAAGGATTTAAAATTGACGATAATTATTGTAAATTGACGAAAAGATTGAGTCATATTTTCAGATACTTAAATCATTTTTAAGTTAATAATTTTTTTTTTGAATATATAAGTGTATTAAATATTTTTTGAAAAAGGTTTTGAATTAGTTTGTTTAAAATTAAAAAAACATTTCAAAAAATAAAATAAAAGTAGTATCGAATTTTTTAAAAATAACTGATGCACGCATTAAAATGAAGGGTGTCGAAAGAAAATTTCATTACTTCTTAAAGAAATAGAAAAATGGCATTTTAAACAAAAATAAAATAATATATATATATATATATATATAATTAAAATCACATTTTTTTAATTCAAGAAACAAAATGTTAAACAATAAGACTTGTCATAAATAATAAAACAACATATTAATTTGAATTGATGAGTAATGATAGAATTATATTGTTTAATCATGTGGTTAAGTTTTGAATTAGAATTTTTTTGCGAGTACAAAAATATTGAGTTGGAAAGGAAGTTTTACTTATTTAATATCTATCAAACATTCGAGAATGATTGATCTCATATTAAGGAGAATACTCTTTAATAATTAATTAAAAAAGAAATAATGAAGCAGCATGTGAAGGAAAGTGGCATGAGTAGGTGTTGGAACACGGATTGCGTGGCGCAACGGCAATGTTTAAACGGCGAACGCCAATTTTTGGTGTATAAATGAGCAGTGGAAGACGCATTTATATAATATTGAATTATGTGGTAATCTGAGTAGTAGGTAATAGTCATGTTATCCAAGTTGCTTTTGCTTGCTATTTTTGCAATTACCATCTGCCAGGCCAGAAAGCTTGCTGAAGAGAAGCCCCTTCTTCACCATTTGCACGCCTACGGTGGTGGTTTTGGAGGTGGATATGGCCAGGGAGGAGGAGTTGGGGGTGCTATAGGGGGTGGATATGGTGCTGGATATGGAGGATTTGGAGGCGGAGCTGCTGGTGGTGGAAATGCTGGATTTGGTGGTGGTGGTGGTGGTGGGAACGGAGGATTTGGAAGAGGTGGCGGTGGAACAGGCGATGGAGGTTACGGAGGAGGCATTGGCGGAGAACCTATGAATGACCTACGACCTTGACTTCAGAACTTTACCATTTCACTTTTTAATGTTCTAGATGAATCCATTGAGAAATAAGCCTGTTATGTTATTAGTTAGAACTATATTGAATGAATAATATAAAAGAATGATTTTACGATGGAACTATCTCACACGGTCACATTACATATTATAGGAAAATAGTAATTACACATCAAACTTTTTTCATTTTTTTATTTTTCATCTACATTATTTATTACATTTTTTTTTTAATTTAGGCCGCACTCTTCTTTCCACCTAAACCAAAAAAATAAGTTGTACATTTATATAGTACTATCACTGTTCAAAACCAAACCCAATAATTTTATGCACTAAGCTACCAAAAGTCCAAACAAATACATTGTGACAAATATTTATAGAATTTGTTTTTAATACAAATTTAGTACTTATAATTTATTTTCGTCTTTATTATGGAAAAGGTTTTTGAAAAATGTTTGATGCTCTTTAAATAAGCAACACATTTTATATATTTAAGTATGTGTCACTTAAATTTTAAGCAATCCACTTAATAATTGCATACAATAAGAAATTATTTCATTTAAGATTTATTTATAACTCACCTTGAACCGTGCAAATTAAGTGTGTAGAAAGGAAAATTAAAATTAGGTGTACAAACAAGTTATCATTGTTTTAGTGCTGTTAGAGTCACTTGAAGAATGTAAGTGATCACTCGAATAGATATGGCAGGGATACACTCGAAGTTGAAAATATTGGAAGTGTTGCCAAAAGAAATATCAAAGTACAGCGAGCAGACCTATTCGAGAGTGGATCGAAATATGCAAAAGGTAGTTATAGGAGGTTACGAACAAGTAAAGCGGGTACATAGTCGAAGGGATAAAAACGTGGGCAGTTAAGAGGAGTTACATTTTTAACCCACATAATGGACGTAGTGGGCAGCGGTTATGCACCCACAATGCATTCATACGGAAATAATTGCTTTCGAAGGTCTCTATAAATAGGAGAGACATATCTTTTCTCAAGGGTCGGAAAAACTTCATACTAGAAACTCTCTCTCAAGTATTCTCTGCCTGTGCATATGGCTTTCGTGCAAGAAATTGTTTTTGGGTATGACTACTTCTCGGCCATTTTCCTTTTTTCTTTATAGGAGTAGAATCAGTGTAGTTTCTTGTTCTTTTAATCACGTAGTGGAATTGTATACTTTGATCAATATGCTCCAACGTGTAATGTAATTTGATCACTATGCGAAGTGAACCATGATTTGTATTGTTAATATACGTGTTGTTCATTCTGTGCATTTGAATCTTTACATACATGAACATTATTGCTTGATAATAATTAATGAATATTTAGAGACAAGCAATCATTAAAACTTTCTACTTTGTCTCTTTCTTGCATTACATTTCATAAATTCGTAAAAACATTAAATACCTAAATTGAAACACTTCCTATGCTAGTTCGAGTAAAAAGAATCCGTAAAACTAATTCCACCGTAAACAAATTGACACGCCTGGTGGGACTCGTTTAAATTGCAAACATAATTGGACTAGTTTTAGGTATGCATGTTGTATGAGACTCAGGAGCGGAAGGACCATGTCTACGTCTAATAGTAGGAGAGAAACTAATGTGACTCAGGAACTAGCAAATGTCACTAGAGAGTATCCTTGGGGTATGCCACAGAACTGGCGAAATACTCAACCAGTACATGTCGAAATGCCGGTACCCTTCTTAGGACCAAATCCACAAGTGCACGTACCCCCACAAGGATACAATCCTGGACCAAATGGTTTGGGTTTTGTCATGCAAGATCCATATCAACATGTAGGGACAAGTCAGGAAGGTTCCCTGCTTCGACAAGGTAGTTTTGTACCTACTGATATTAGTAATCAAGCCATGATGGCTCTTCGATAACAGATGGACCATAGTAATCATGACATGGTCAATCTGTTGTCAACCCAAATGCATAATATAATGACGCCTTTGTATGAATTAATAAACAAAATAGGAGATAAATTGGATGATGGACCACCTTCGAGAGCTATGAGTGCAAATTTGAACGAGATGGAAAATCTAGGTGGGAATGGAATTTTTCCTCAAAACGTAATTCGACCTAATAGGTATCCTAATGATTATTTAGATCAAATGGTAGAACGGATACTAAATAGGCATGGTTTCGAATTAGGTCGAAATGAACGCCCTTATTTTGTCTCAGCCTTTCCGGATCACGTAACTCAAGTAGAACTGCCTAGGGGGACAAAGGTCCCAAAATTTTCGAAATTCGCGGGAGAATTAAATGAGTCTACAGTCGAACATATAGCTAGGTATGTAGTCGAATGTGGGGATTTAGCGAACAATGAATATTTAAAAATGAAGTATTTTCAGAGCTCGCTAACTAAGCACGCTTTCACATGATTCACAACTTTACCTCTTAATTCTATAAATACTTGGGTTCAATTGGAAGGTAGTTTTCATGAACATTTTTTCTTATAAGAAACGAAATTTAGTATAGTCTATCTAATGAATGTTAAAAGACAAAGCCATGAAACATTAGATGACTATTTAAATAGGTTCAGGCAATTGAAATCTAGATGTTATACTAATATATCTGAGCATGAATTAGTTAAGATCGCAGCAACATGATTAGATTTCTCAATACGTAAAAAATTGGTAAATGAACAGTTGAGAGATATGGCTCAGTTAGCAGAAAAGGTTAGAAGGATCGAACAAATTAAGTTAGAAAAAGAAAGATTGAGAAAGTTTGATAGGTTTGTTCGAAAAGAAAAAGTAGCATATTTAGAAAATGCAGAGATGAATGAGGAGGTTAACTATGAGATTTCGAGTGAAGATTTTGAGGTTAACTTAGCATATTTACGCCCTGGTCCTACTTATCAGTGTCAAATGTTAAAACCAGGGGACAATATAGAAGGGAATTCGACCAAGAGATACAGTTTCGATGTCACGAAGGCTGATAAGATATTTGATATCTTATTAAAAGATAAACAAATTGTACTCCTAGAAAACCATAAAATACCACCATTCGAGCAAAGAAAAGGGAAGAAATTTTGTAAATATCATAATATGTATGGTCATTAGACTAATAACTGTGTGCGTTTCAGGGATATGATCGAGAGAGCGATCACTGATGGTCGCCTTGCTTTCGAAGAAAAGGAAATGAAAGTGGACACTGATTCATTTGCTGCTCACACTGGATATGTGGAACCAGTCTCGATGGGAATCAATATGGTTGAAGTCAATATCGAGGATGACGAAAACATCGAACCTATTTCTGATGAGAAACTCGAAGAACTGATGGATGACTTTGCTAAAGAGGAAGAACTGATTTATCCAAAGGAAGGAGACATTTTAGTTGAGTTTCTATCGAAGAAAAAAGAAGCTGATAGGGAGGTTATGTTGTGTCCTCGATGCAGTGCTGTCTTCGACGGAGCTGCTGCTAAGGCTTTCGAGGAGTCAGAAATGATGAGGAGCTACAAAGCCAAGAAGCTTCGAGAAAAATCTAAGCTTAATGCTGGGCCGAGTGCTAGGTTAACTATGAGGCAGGTTCACATGTCTCAGTATAATGCCCCGGTGGGTAAGATGGAAATGTATAATTCATTGAAATTCGGCAATACTTTTGTGCCGAATGCAAACGTTCCTGTAGGAAAATGGAATGCCCCACCAAGGCCAACCGTTGGCGGAATAGGTCGAGGAAAGCAAGTGACGAATTATGCTGGACATCCAATGCAAGGAACTCCTGGAATGTTCTCAAATATATCTGCAGGTCCTGGTAGATTCTCAACTGGAAGTTATGGGCGTGGTTTTCGACAGCCCTTTAATAACTTGACCAAAACCCAGTGGAGAAGGCAGCAAAGAATGTGGAAGGCTACCTTTGAAGGTTTTAACAAGGGGTGGGTCTTTACCAACTTAAAAATCGAAGATTTTAGGTAAGCCAAAAAACGTGAGCGCCCCTACGCGAGCCTTATTGAAAACTCAAGTCAATTTTTTATTCTATCTATATGTATTCTATTAATGCGCTCAAGCATGTGCAGAAAGCAACGAGAAAAGCCCTTTCTATGTTATTAGTAAAGAGCGCAAACCAATTTCTTAGTCACCGGGCGGAGCGCACCTTTGGTACTTTGCTTATAGCTTTTTTAGGTTATATGCGGAGACTTGCTTTTGGTACCCCAAAAGGGAGAATCATCTCGAAAATTCATCGAAGTTGATGAAGATCTGATAACTGACTGCTTCGAGAGCGATTTCGATGATTCCCTGGAGGATATCTGTGGGATAGTATCAATTCTGCCCTCCGAGTACGCTGGAGCCATGGAATTTGTAAATGAATAAGAGGATATTCATCGAAAAGATTTCTTTGATGATCCTAATTATGAGTCCAAAATCGTGTGGATCAATCAAATCTCGAGGGTTATCCCCAAATTTAATTCAGCTGTGTTTGACTCTCCCACTGAAGAGATGAAAGGTCACCTTAAGCCTTTACTGTTAACTTTGATGATCGAGGGGCATGAGGTGAATAAGGTTTTGGTTGATGGAGGTGCAATTGTGAATATCCTACCTAAGACAATGCTGAAGAGGTTTGAAAAGTCCATGGCTGACTTGAAGCCCATAATATATTGATCTCAGACTATGCAGGAAAGTCTTCACACCCTGAGGGTATGATTCTACTTGATGTTCAGATTGGAAGTGTGAAGAGGACTACTATGTTTATAGTAACTCCATCAAAGGCAAACTTTAACGTCTTGTTAGGACGAGAATGGATACATGGGGTCGGGGCTGTTCCTTCGACAGTACACCAAAAGATTTTCTTTTGGAATGCTGACGAAGGTTTGGAAGTCCTCGACGCGGACCAAAAGGCCTATGAGGTAGGTATGTACTTTACTGATCAACAACTAATGGCATTTACGAAGACCAAGCCTTTCGATGCCTACAATGCTGGAGTTATGGATGAGGAAGAGGGAGTGAAGAAGATTTTATGTTGGGATGTGAAGAGAGATTTTGGGATTCGAGCCTAA